CACCTCCCAAGTGCTGGACACATAGCAGGCACCCAATAAATGCTATCTGAGATGAGCAGAGGGCTCTAGTCGGGAAAGTATTGTTTTTACTCCAAAAACCCTTCTTTCTATTTTTGTTGCCAAGTCTTATTTCTAATATCCAACAATTATTATGTGCCTACTGTGTACCTGGTCCTGGGTATACAGATAATGAGAGTAGCTAACATTTAGTAAGCACTTAGTGTATACTGTTCACCTTGAAGCCTTTCAACAACCAAATGAGGCAGGTGCTAATACCATTCCCAATTTCTAGAAGAGGAGACTAAAGCTCAGGAAGGTGAATTTTTAATTTGTGGGCAGTCACACAGTTAAGTGGTACCAGCACAAGCACAAGCCTACCTCAGTGTTGCCCCATGGTGCTACAGGTGAGGCGAGGTGAAGTACTATGGGGCCCCATGGCAGAGCCTGGTGTGGGGACCCCTGGGAAGCATCTCTAGGGTTTGTACTGGGTCAACCTCCAGTGTCATTTGTTGCTAAGACTGTGGGGACTCAAAGGATTGAAAAGGGGAGGAAAGAAGAGGGTGGATTTTTTGCAGATACTACTCACGGGAGTGGAGATAAGCAAAAAGGCTGCAAGGAATGTACTTGTGGCCCTCAGTGAGAGTGATGATGACCTAGACTGAGGACACATGATCCATCTCAGCCTCGTGCCATTAGCTTGCAGGGAACACAGAGGCCACCGTTGTGTTGCTCAGCTTGTGTCATTCCTGCTGGCAAAATATTCATTACTGAGGAGAGATACACAGCAGCCACACTGTGTCCCTGTGAGCCCATGATCTGGGTGGTGACAGAGCCAGCCAGCAGACACGAGTGTAGAGCTGAATGTTGGCCTCCAAAAGGATACCCTGAAGTTCTTACCTCTGGAACCTGTAAATGTGACTTTACTTAAAGTGTTTTTACAGATATAAGTAAGTTAAGAATCTTGAGATAAGAATCAATTTGGATTATTCAGGTGGGCCCCAAAGCCAATGACAAGTGCCCTTATAAGAAAAAGGAGACAGAGACACAGAAGAGAAGCCATGTGCCAACTGAGGCAGAGATTGGAATGATGTAGCCACAAGCCAAGGGGTGCCAGGGGCCACCAGAAGTTGGAAGGAAGGATCCTCCCCTAGAGCCTTCAGAGCACACATGACCCTGCTCACACCTTGATCTTGGACATGTGGTCTCTGGAATTGTAAAAGAATAAATTCCTGTTGTTTTAAGGCATCAATGTGATGGTAGTTTGTTACAGCAGCCTTCCATGTACAGCTGGCTTGTCACACAGAACAGAAATGCTGGAAATATTTGTTGAAGGTGAACTTCATCTCTCCCTGGCTGTGAGACCTGGAGCATCATGCTTAGGTCCCCTCTCTGTGCTGCAGGGATGGGAACTGGTTGAGCCTGTTCTTTGAGGGTTTGTAACATGCAGAGTGTAGAACAAAGCAACTTCTACATCAGACCAGCACTTCTCAAACTCGAATGTGCTCACAGATTCCCAGATGGAACTTGCTAAAATGCAGAAGCTGTATCAGTGGCCTAGGGTGCATTTCTAACCAGCCTGCAGGTCTGGCCAACACTGCCGGCCCATGGACCACACTTTGACTAGCAACAGGTTGGGAGACTTCCCTCCTCATCTGACCCATGGACTTCTTCAGTGCTGCTGTGTTGGTGTCCTAGGGATGACGTAACAAAGTACCACCAGCTTGGGGGCTGAAGGCCAGAAGTCCAAAATCAGAAGTTTGTAGGGCTATGTTCTTTTTTCTTTCTTTCTGTTTTCTGGTCAGGTCCACCTAAAGTATGAAAGGGTTGTGCTCTTTCTGAGAGCTATAGGGGAGGATCTTCCCTTGTTTGTTCCAGCTTCTTTTTTTTTTTTTTTTTTTTTGAGACAGAGTCTCACTATGTCACCCTTGGTAGAGTGCTGCGGTGTCACAGCTCACAGCAACCTCAAACTCTTGGGCTTCAGCGATTCTCTTTTTTTTTTTTTGAGACAGAGCCTCAAGCTGTCCCCCTGGGTAGAGTGCCGTGGCATTACAGCTCACAGCAACCTCCAACTCCTGGGCTCAAGCGAGTCTCCTGCCTCCGGGACCACCAGTGCCCGCCACAACGCCCGGCTATTTTTTGATTGCAGCCGTCGTTGTTTTAGCAGGTCCGGGCTGGGGATTCGAACCTGCCACCTTAGGTGTATGTGGCTGGCGCCTTAGCCGGTTGAGCTATAGGTGCCGAGCCTTCAGCGATTCTCTTGCCTCAGCCTCCCAAGTAGCTGGGACTACAGGCACCCACCACAATGCCCAGCTATTTTTTATTGTTGTTGTTTTGATTGTTGTTCAGCAGGCCTGGGCTGGGTTCAAACTCGCCAGCCCCAGTGTACGTGGCTGGTGCCCTAACCAACCACTGAGTTACAGGTGCCGAGCCTTGTTCCAGATTCTTAACGGTTGCTGGCCATCATTAGTGTTCTTAGCTTGTGGCCACATCACTCCCAACTGTGTCTCTGTTTCCCCATGTCCTCTCTGAGTGTGTGTTTCTGCGTTCCCTCCTTTACTTATGATAACAGCAGTCATGGATATAGGGCTCACCCTGAAGCCAGGATAATCTCATCTCAAGATCCTTAACTAAATATTTGCAAAGACTTATTTTCAAATAAGGTCATATTTTGAGTTCTAAGTGCAAATCTTGGAGGTCACAATATTCAAGCTACTATCATTACTTAAGATCAGAGGTCCTCAAACTTTTTAAACAGGGGGCCAGTTCACTGTCCCTCAGACTGTTGGCAGGCTGGACTGTGGGCCCCAGGACAAGTAGGCTGCTAAGCAGGACAGGCAGCAGTGGCAAAAACCCCCAGCAGGCCAGATAAATGTCCTAGGCGGGCTGCATGTGGCCCACGGGCTGTGGTTTGAGGACGCCTGCTCAAGATGGATGGAACAAAGGACTTTCCCACGCCAAATACAAAGATCCCACAAATGACCTTGATAGCAAACATAAATGGTTCTCTGTTCTCCACAGCTGGGACTTTGTAATCACATGGCTCAGGGTGGAGGGTCTAGTAGCATTAATTCCTACGACTGTGTGGAAGGACTGGGCAAGGATTGGGCGGGTCATCTAGGTGGACAGTGCTAGCACAGTGGGGTGCATGGCTCAGGGTGGGGACAGTGCTAGCACACTCCCAGCTTTGCCAGTGTTAAGCAAACCACTTCATCTTTTGGGCCCCTGTTTCTGAATTAATAAATGAGAAGATAATAGAGGTTGGGCCATTTAAAAAAAGGGACATTTTTCTAGACAGATGACCTACCTATATTTCTTAAGTGTGTAACAAAACCGATCACACACTTACAATCCAAACCCAGAGCAAGAAACAGCAATTCCAGCTCCAGAGGCCCCTTGCAGGAAGTCTTGCCCCCTCCAAGGGAAACCACTATCTTCATTTCCAACAGTATAGGTTAAATGGTTTTCAGTTAAAGTGAAATTCATACAACGTAAGATTTATCGATTTAAAGTGACACTCTAAAATGTAAAATTTAGTGTACTAAATTCAGTGGCATTTAGTACATTTATGATGTTCTACAACCATCACATCTATCTAGTTGTAGAACATTTTATTCCCCAAAAGGGAACTTATATCCCTATTAAGTAGTTACTCTGCAAACTCACTCCTACCAGCCCCCAGCAACCACTCATCTGCTTTTTATCTCTATGAATTTGCCCACTCTGGACACTTCATATAAATGGACTAATACAATATGTAACCTTTATGACTGTTTTTTTTGTTTTTACTTAGCATCACATTTTTGAGGTTCACCAATCAGTGCTTCATTCCTTTTCATGGCCAAGTAATATTCCATTGTATGGACAGACCACATTGTGTTTATTTATGGGTTGGTCCATCAATGAATATATGAGTTGTTTCCTCCTTTTGGCCACTGTGAATAGTACTGACAAATTACTCTTTGCCTATTCTTATATTTTTGGGAAATGGGATCATATAGTGTGTGCTGTTTGGGATCTGGCTTTCACTCCATGTCAAGTTTTTTTTTTTTTTTTTTTTGAGACAGTATCTTACTCTGTCACTGGGCATAGAGTGCAGTGACATCACTATACTGCTACCTCAAATTCCTGGGCTCAAGTAATCCTCCTTCCTCAGCCTCTTGAGTACCTGGGATTTTTAAATTTTTTTAATAGAGAAGGAAGGGGCCTCGGCACCTGTGGCTCAAGCGGCTAAGGCGCCAGCCACATACACCTGAGCTAGTGGGTTCAAATCCAGCCCAGGCCTGCCAAACAACAATGATGACTGCAACCAAAAAATAGCCGGGCATTGTGGTAGGTGCCTGTAGTCCCAGCTACTTGAGAGGCAGAGGCAGGAGACTTGCTTGAGCCTGGGAGTTGGAGGTTGCTGTGAGCTGTGATGCCACAGTACTCTACCCAGGGTGACAGCTTGAGGCTCTGTCTCAAAAAAAAAAGAGAAGAGAAGGGGGGGGTCTTGCTTTTGCTCAGGCTGGTTTTAAACGCCTTGCATCAAGAAATCCTCCTGCCTCAGCCGCCTCCCAGAATGCTAGATTACAGGCATAAGCTGCCATGTCCAGACTCAATGTCAAATTTTGAGGTTGGCTCTTCTATTCTGGGGGAAATGTGTGTAGGGTGGCCACCATTCTGCTACCTGCTAGCAGAGAGCACAGGGCACCTTTTGTCCTCTGTGGCAATGGGCTGGGAGTTCTGGTGGGCAAGATGCCTAGCTCCCCAAGGAGGTCTAGGTGGGATATCTTCCCAGGGTCCTCCCAAAGCAGGCTCCTGGCTGACATTGGAAGATGGTAGAGAAGATGCAGGGAGCTGTGTGGGGACGTGTCACACCAGACTGGTTGTAGCCCCTTATCTACTCACCTAGGAGTTCAGGCCCATCTGCAGATCTCACTGCAAGGAAGTCTTTGTGTAACAATCCTAAAGCCAGTTTCTTGTCATTAATTATTCAATTACGGAGCCCAAAAGTTTCTTACCTGGTGCTTCAATTAATTGCTTGTAAACATTCAGAAAAGCAGCCTCCGCCTCCTGACTTCTTTTACTAAGGGCCACCACCTTTGGAAACAACAAGAGAAAGAGTCACATGTAACCATGGTATCTGGGTCTGCAAGCAAATCTGGTCATTTTCTGCTTGTGCAAACATGGGAGAGGAAGTGGGGAGGATGAATGGTGAAAGTATGGGCTCTGGAGTTAGAAAATCTGGGGTCAAATCCCGCTCTACTGTGTCTGGGGTGTGTAACCTTGGGTAAGCCACTGTTCCTCAGTTTCCTCTCCTGTAAGATGGTATTGTGTGTGGGTAAATAATAGGACCTACCCCCTGGGGCTGCTCTGGGATTAAATGGTAGCACACAATAGGTTTTTTAAAATTGTTACTTTTATTTACTTTTTAGAGATAAGGGTATCATTCTGTCACTAGGCTGGAGGGCCATGGTGCAATCAGCCCACTGCAGCCTTAAACCTCTGGGCTCAAAGGATTCCCCTTGGTCCCTGCCTCAGCCTTTCCAAATGCTGGGATTATAGGTGTGGCCAATGCTCCCAGCTCCATAGTAGGTATGCTGGAAGTTCAAATATGGCACGTTTTTTGGGGAAAGTAGGACACATCTAGAGAATATTACTTGTACTAAAAATGAAAGAGAAATTGTTAAAGCTCTTATAAGGTATTAAAGAGCTTCCACAAACACTGGAGGATAACAGGGTTATGTGAAATAGCTCCTGGCACACTGAAGATGCTCAATAAATGCTTCTTGACTGAATGAATAAATGGATGGCAAGATAACCCAGGAGTAAAGAGCTACATTCATACAATCATTCTTTTGCTCATGGATCTTTCTTGTTCTGCCAGTGAGACATCATGAGTATGGCTGTGGGTGAGATGATGCCACCCTACAGCATATGGATCTATGTCTCTTAAATGCCCAGTAGCCACTGAGTTTCTAGAACTCAGCATCATCTCATCCCTCTGCAGAAGGCTATTAATTCCAGAGCTCTGGCCTCACAGCCACCTTAATTGTAGCTTTTTGGTGGGTAGTCCCACTGGAAGAGTCCTGGGCCTCACATTTCTGGAGTGAGCTCCTGGTACCCATAGACCCTACATCTGTAAGGATATTTTGGGCTGTGCATCCCCCTTTGGACTAGAATAAGCCTTATTCTCCCTGGCACCAACACACCTCTCCCTGGAAACTAACTTCCTAAATGATGAGTTTACTCAGAGCATTTACTTGTTAATGCTTTTTTTTTTTTTTTTTGCAGTTTGAACCCTTCACCTCTGGTATATGAGGCTGGTGCCCTACTCCTTTACGACACAGGTGCTGCCTGAGTTGGGCTTTTTTTTTTTTTTTTTTATAAATCTTGAGGACATCATTGAAAGAGAAAGAGGGGAGTATCTGTTATTGAATTCCTCTCCTTAAATTAAGCTCTGAGAGAACGTTGTCTGGTGCATAGTAGGTGCTCAAACATAATTTGTTGAATGAACAACTCCAATTCTAGGACCTGTGACCTACATAGTTCTTTTACTCCCCACTGGCAAGGGCCATTTCTGAGACAGTCTGTTCACAGAGGTGGCCAACTAAGGCACAGGCCCTGCAGCTAGCCTGTCTGGGTTCAAATCCCAGTTCCACCACTTACTAGCTATGTGTATCTGGGCAGGTAGTCACTTAAAACCCTGGCCTTTATATCCCCATTTGTAGACTGGTAAAAATAATACAACAACTTCCCTGAAAGGGATACTAGGAGAATGAAAGATTTAACACATGCGATGCCCCTTGAATAACTCTTAGCCTGTATTCGGCACTGCAGATACATTACTCTAGGTATAACAATGTCTTTCTTTTCATGACAGGTTCCACCCAGTGTTGCATGGTGAATTCAGTTGTGCTTGTCTCTGGTATCTTATAAAGATTACTTGAGAAAGACCCTGCCCTCTCCACACACAGCAGTGCACTTGGCAAGAAGAATGTGAAAACCACGGTGGTTCAATATGGTAGCCACGCTGTGCAATCACGGCAACCATGAGCCATGTGTGGCTCCTGAACACGTGAAACGTGGTGAGTCCAAATCAAGATGTGCTGTAAGTATAAAATATGCACCAGATTTTGAAAACATAGTACAAAAAAAGAAGATAGTATAATAGTTCAACTTTTAAAATACTGATTATATTTCAAAGTGATAATGTGTAACCAGCTTGGTGCCTGTAGCTCAGCGGCTAGGTCACCAGCCACATATACCAGGGCTGGTGGGTTCAAACCTGGCCTGGGCCTGCTAAATAACAATAAAAAAAAAAGCTGGGTGTTGTGGTAGGCGCTTGTAGTCCCAGGTACTTGGGAGGCTGAGGCAAGAGAATTGCTTGAGCCCAAGAGTTTGAGGTTGCTGTGAGCTGTGACACCACAGCACTCTACTGAGGGTGATAGAGTGAGACTCAGTCTTGGGGAAAAAAAAAAGTCAGTTACAAAAGCTCCTTCATCTTGCTCATTGTTATTCTGTGAAAGTCCCTGATCTCTCACTTTCCAGAGTAGATGATGGTCTCTCTTTCACTCAATGAACATGTCCTATACACCTGCTATGTGCCAAGCACTGTTGACTGAGAATCCAACAAGAATAAAGCAGACTTAGACCCCAACCTAGTGGGACTCAGAGGCCGGTGAGGACACCAACTCTGAGGCAGATTCCCCAGATGATTCACTAACCATGAGTGGGAATTGCTTGGAAGAAAAAAAGTACAGGGAGATCTTGAGGGTGTGGAAGTGGGAAGAGGCTGATCCAGTTTGGTGGAGGAACATTAATAATTTATCACATCAAGAAGGGCAATTTGGTGGAGAAAGGGCAGAAAGAATGCTGTAGAATCTAGGCAAAGAGAAAACTGCCATATAACTAAGTGTACAGATTTTTTCTTCCTGAGAGGGACAAGACACAGTTCCTGTTCTGGGCACTTTGCAGCTGAGTGGGAGACACAACTATACCTGAGAGTAACATGGGAGGAAGTGGTAACACTGGAGCCTCCTGTGAGCGCTGTGAGGAGGGGACAATCTATTCAGTTTCGGGGCATCCTTATAGGTTAATAATAACAACAACATGACACTGAATGTTCCCCACATGCTGGATGCTCTCACTACTCATGATCATCTATTCCATGGACACATCTATCACTGAATTGCTGCTGCTCTTCCCCCCGTGGTAGAGATGAGGAAACTGAGGCTCAATGAGGTTTTAGGGCTCGGTATCTGTACACAGTGGTTACAGCGCCAGCCACATACACCGAGGGTGGTGGGTTCAAATCTGGCCCTGGCCAACTAAACAACTGCAACAAAAAAATAGCCAGGCATTGTGGCGGGCGCCTGTAGTCCCAGCTACTTGGGAGGCGGAGGCAAGAAAATCACTTAAGCCCCAGAGTTTGGGGTTGCTGTGAGCTGTGATACCACAGTACTCTACTGAGGGCAACATAGTGAGATTCTGTCTCAAAAAAAAAAAAGAGAGGTTTTAAGCCGCTTGCTGAAGGTCACTCAGTTAGTAAATGGCAAGGCCAGGATTCAAATTTTTCTTCTAAATCCAGATACTGGGCCCCTTTTAACCTGAATAGAAAAATTGTCCCAGAGTTTCTATCTACCTGACTCTTCATTCTGCCTTATGTGGTCTGGGGGAGACAGAGAGGAACCTGACCTCCCAACTCACTACACCTTCCTTGCATGGCATCTAATATGTTGAATATTGATTTAAGAAGTAGGCCCTGGCTCGGCGCCTGTGGCTCAAGTGGCTAAGGCGCCAGCCACATACACCTAAGGTGGCGGGTTC